ACTTCAATAGGGCACTGTTGACTTGGTGCTTTGTGACAGGGAAGGATTTTGATGCGGCCCGGGTAATTGGTGATGAAATGGTCTTACGGGGACCGCTGCTGACAAAGGGATTCTATTTCCCTTCCTTGGTAACCACATTGTGCTTGATGAGAAACACCCCCACCAATCCTGCAGATGGAGATTTTCCTCCCAGAGCAGCTTTCAAAGCTTCTAGCATCAGAGTGGGCAGGGGTACACGCACCACAATAGAGATTGATGATGAGGAGGATGATCCGGTTCCTTTTGCACCGTCTAGGCGGTCTGTTGACAGTGCCGGGCCCTCTCGGCGCCCCCATTCTGGAGCAGACCTATCACGCTCACAGTCCTCCCGGCCTATGCTACGCTCCTTGGAAGAAGAGGTCGCGGATCTCCGCACCTCGGTGGATGGTCTACACACGCGGATGGACGCCATGTCACAGAGGCAGGATAGATCTGAGAGCCGGTTTATGGCTTGGTTACGTGCATTGGGGAGGGCCTGCCATGTAGACCCCAGCACCGTCTCCGACTCGAATTGAGTCTCAGGGAAGTCGTCTCACCCTTTTGCTCTTTACTTTATTGATATGACATGGGAACATGCCATGATTTTAAGTGTGGGGTGGGAGACTTGCTCTAACTGTGTAGCATTAGAGTGATGTGTTGTATATATGTGAGTGTGTTATATTAGGAGGACTTGGCCCAACGACGGACACTTGTTGACGGGTCTCTTGAGGGTCAAAGTCAGATATAAAAAAAAAAAACAAAACTTGTAGAGGACTCTTCCTGATGACGGACTAGGTGGACAATACTCTTGAGGGAAGTAGTCCATGTAGAATTTTTATTTTTTTTTAATTTTATTTTCTTCTTTTAGGTAATGTAGTACCTCCCCCTTGGTTTTTCTTTTGACCACGGTTCTTTTCCAAGGGTTTTTCTTGAACCGGGTTAGGTAGATTTTTCTTTTGTAGTTTTAGGATTAGATGGGTGAAGGTCAGAATGTAACCCCAAATGTGCACACTTGCAAAGAAAAGAACTTGAGAGTGTGACGCCTAAGCTTGTTTGTGGACTCATAATATATGCCTTAATTTTGCACATCTTGTCTTGCTTGAACACTCGTATGATTGTGTTGATGAACTGATTCGGAATGAGTTACATGCTAAGTGTGTGTGAGTTGTTACTTGCATCCTATGCTTGCATATGATACCTAGAACTTGCCCTGTGTGTTTGCAAAGCGAAATAGAAGTCGTTTGGTTTTAGAGATGATTGAGGCATTTCTTTGTGCAACCCTTTATACTTGAGAATCCACCTGTGCATATTACCATAGTTAACCCCTTTGAGCCTGAAGCCTATTCTTTGATAACCCTATAATGATCTAAATCGCTGTGTTTGAATAAGCTAATTGTTTGAACCTTTACATCCTAGAAGCACTTGAATCACTAAAGAATATGCAAAAGTCTAAGTGTGGGGTGGGAGAGAGTTAGTGAAAAAAGGGGAATCAAGAATGAAGGTTCTGGTTGGTGAACTGGCAGTGTACAATAAATCTGAAAAAAAAAGAGAGAAAAGAAAAGAAAAAGAAGAGCCAGTTGTACCTAAAGAAAAGTGGGGGTCACAAGTGAAACAAAATGTGGAATAATGATTGGGTTGAACATGAAGGTGAAACAAAAGGAAGTGTGTATTAAAAGTGCTTAGGGAGGTTAGTCACTATATCCAAATATATCCTACCCGTCCCTTAGCCTACATTACAACCTATAAAGACCTCTTGATCTTTGACTGACTGGCTCGATTAGTGGAGTATTACACTAGGGGTAAGCTTATGGTGTGTCTGTGTGGCTTGTGAATGCTCTTTGCTGAGAGTGAGCGAATTCTTTCTATATATGGTTCCTTGTTGTTGAATTTTATGTGTGGAACTTCTCTCAAATTTTGTTTATGTGAGGGCATGTGACTCAGGAAGAAAAAGTGAGTCTTCACTTCTGTTAGAGTAATTAGAGTGAGCACAAGTGTGTCTTGGCATGAGAGTCTGCATTTGAGATATGATTGTGCACCGCTTAGGTCGATCTTTGATAATAGCAGGTGTGACATAAATTGGGGCAATGCATTGAGCAGTTAGGCCTAGAAGTGTGGTTTAGTTTGCTCGAGGACGAGCAAAGGTTTAAGTGTGGGGTGTTGATAATAGGTGCATTTGACTATAATCACACCTTAAATAATCACCTTCTTGTGTAGTTTTAATGCTAAAAGTGATAACAAAATGCTCTTATTAGTGCTTTTCATGATTTGCAGGTGATATATGTATAAGGAAGGCTAAGGAGCAGTTTTGGAGTCAAAATTGATGAAAAAGAGGCCAACTGTGAAATTTCCCAAGTGAACCATGCAAAACAGGCCGAAGATTCAAAGCACTGGGTCCACCGCGGTTCCACCGCGACTGCGGCAGAACCGCGGTGGAAAGCAGCTGCAGAATTTTAAGGATTCCGCGAGGGTGTTTGGCCGCGATTCTACCGCGACCGCGGCAGAACCGCGGCAGGCGCAGACACTTCAGGGACCAAAGTGTCAATTACGGGATTTTTAGACCTAAACCCTATTTAACATTAGACTTCGCCCAAGAGAGGCATGTATTGATTTTTAAGGTTTCTTAGCAAGGAAAACCATTGTGAGAGAAGACTCTAAACATCTTTCTTCTTTTCTTTTGATTTTTATGATGAATTCAATCTTAGTTTATTTTCCCATAGCCATGAGTAGCTAAATTCCTTGTCTAAGGTTTTGATGGAACCTATTGGGTGATGAACTTCTTGTTTATGTGAATACAAATTGCTAGTTTAATATCTATTTGTTCAACTTCGTGTTCGTTGTAGGTAATTGACAGGATCCTCAATTAGTTGTGCCTATTTAGTGTGCATAACTTGGAAAAGAGTGCATATTTAGGTTATTGTTGAACAACACCACTCCTAGATTATTAGAGGAATCTATAATTGCGGGTTTAAAGGCGGGATTAGGGATAACGAAGCCTTGGGTGTAATCTAAAGTGAATCGTGCTAAATAAAGTAAGCTAGTGTATCTCGGGAGAGTGCAATAGTAAATTACTGTGATTACTCGGGAGAGATTTGCGGTAAGATTAGCGTTCATGATTGATAGAGATGTGTGGGTAAATTTGTATGAGCATAAACAAAAGGGATTCCATCAATAGGGGAAGTCATTGCCTTAGCTTTTCCTCATAATTGTTTACAACCTCATTAGTTTAGTTTACAGCTATTTAGTTACTTGCAAGCTAGTCGTTAAAGAACACTCAACTGAGATTTGAATATTGAGAAGCTGGTTCTGAAGAATTAGTGGGTCTGAAGATAGTAGTTGATAGGTTAACTCTCTGTGGATTCGACCCTGGGCGTAATACTCGGGTTATATTTGCAACGTCCGCTTAGTCCTTTTTATAAGGCATAGTTGGGCGTGATCAGTGTGGTGGGATTGTTTCCTATTTTTCTTTCCAATTATGCCCTAACTTATTTCTCCACAATTCTATTTTACCCTTTAGCTTTTTTTGCTATTTTAACTCCAAATCTCTAACCTATGACCTACTTTGTTTTTTTTTTCCAGAACTTCTGCCGCCAACGTTAAAGGTGTTTTGCCGCCTTCTGTTTTATTTTTTCTCCTAATTTGCTTTTAATTTATTTCTACTTAGTTGTGCTCCTTTGATTTGCCTTCTTCTGTCTCGCTCCTTTGTTATGCTTTCTTAAGGTGTTTCGCCTTCTTTTGTTTTGTTTTTTTATAAAAAAATTATGCATAATTTTTGATAAATTTAGTATTTAAACAATCGAGGGTATTTTGGTAAACTTATCAGTTCAGTACATTACGATACAGTCAAACCAAACATCAAAATATTATTTAACAATAAAAAACGATACAATCTATCCAAACGTTGTATTCGTAAAACGATACGATATAATACGATACAATATAATACAATACATTATAAAACGATAGGGAACAATGATCCAAACAGAGTGTAAATACTCACCTACTCACGGTATTTTATAGTATTAAATTAAAAAAAGTAACTTTAGCAATTACAAAGTAAGAATGGATATCATTTTACCCTGGTGAAGTATTAAAGGCGTGTAAAATATATGTGTCTATGTGTCTTACCTTTATTTGTTTTATGTTAATATTGAATACACTTAATTTTTAGCCATTCACAGGGAAGAACGTACACCATTCAAAACCTTATTGGTGAGTTATTTAAGTTCCTAAGGAACCAATAATGAAATTTTTTAGAGCAAAACACAAAATTGGCCGATCGTTCCAAACTAATTGCTATATATGTTATCGGCTATTATTTTTGAAAGATGTTAAAAATATATATTTCTCAAAAGTTTTACCAACTTGAAACTTACGAAGTGGACGATTAAGTTGTGCCTTGGCTTTTGACTAAATGTTGAGAATCAACACTGGAATTGAGCTCAGATCGAGCTCCAATGGAGGAAGGGGAAAACCATCCACGCCGAGAAGCTTCGAGAAACAGATTGAGAGAGAAAATGAATTCTTCTTACATCCAAAATATCTGTACAATACATTTATACACGTGCATAGCTGCTTCCACTAACTACTTAACTACCTTATTATAATAGTAGCCTAAGTGTTTACAAAAATGGCCTATACAGGAATAGCCTATGTAAATGTAAGGTGACTACAACATGACTAGTTATTAAATAATCTCAACACTACCCCTCCTCCCTCCTCAAGTTGGAGGTGGGGAATCCACAACCAACTTGCCAAGTAGAAGAGTATGCTTGTTGCCCGGCAAAGACTTAGTAAAGATGTCTGCAAGCTATTCATGATGAAATCAGTCCATCTTGAAGCTTGTCTCGTACAAAATGACAGCCCACTTCTATGTGTTTGGTCCGCTCATGGAAGACTGGATTCTTTGCAATGTGAAGTGCTGCTTGGCTGTCACAGAAGACAAGTATGGGTAGAGAAAGAGATACTGTGAGTTCCTCAAGCAGTCATGCAAGCCAGACCAGTTCCCAAACCACTTTACTCATTGTTCTATACTCAGCTTCTACTGAGGACAATGAAATAGTAGATTGCTTCTTGAATTTCCAACTGATGGGGTTGTCACCAAGCAACACTATGTAACCACTATCAGACTTCCTAGTTTCAGGGCAAGCAGGCCAATTAGAGTCATAAAAGGCCCTTACTCTATAATCTCTAATGTTAGACAAAAAGATCCCCAGAGATAAACTCCCTTTCAAGTATCTCAATACATATACTGTTGCTTTTAGGTGACTGTGTCTAGGATTTTGCATATATTGGCTCAAGTGTTGAACACTATAAGCTATATCAGGCCTAGTTCCTATAAGGAAATTAAATTTCCCAACTAGTTTCCTACAGTGACCGGGATCTGAAAGTGGTATTCCTTCACCCGCCTTTACCTTCACTGTTGGATCAAGAGGTGAAGTCACAACAGAACATCCTATACAGTCAAACTCCTTAAGGACTTGAGTAAATTTCTTCTGTGTAATCACAACTCCATCACCTTTATAATGTATATCCAATCCTAGGAAGTAATGGAGTCTCCCTAGATCTTTTATTCTGAAAGTTTCATGTAGGAACTTCTTTAAGTTGGTAATTTCTTCCAAGTGAGCTCCTGTGATAATAACATCATCAACATATACAGCTACAAAAGTTACTGAATTCCCTTTGCCTTTATAAAACAAAGAGTAATCAAACATAGAGTGTGTATAACCTCTGGAACAAAGAGCTTCTGTCAGCTTGGCATACCATTGTCTACTAGCTTGTTTTAATCCATACAAGGATTTGTTCAACTTGCATACCATTTCAGACCGCTCTATAAATAGGCCTGGTGGTACTTTCATATATACTTCATCATGTAATTCAACATGAAGGAAAGTATTGTTCACATCTAAAACATTTCCCATCTCTTCTTAACTGCTACCCCAATCAGAGTCCTTAGTGTTGTCATTTTAACAACATGTGAAAAAGTCTCAGTATAATCCACTCCATCCTGTTGAGTATAACCCTTCACTACCAACCTATCTTTGAACCTCTCTACACTCCCATCTGCATTGTGTTTTATCATATACACCCATTTACATCCTATGGCCCTTTTTCCAGCTGGAAATGGTACTAAATCCCGAGTGTTATTGGTATACAATGTCTCAAATTCTTGAGTCATTGTTGATTTCCATGCAGTTACAACATCTACTTCCTCAGATGAGACAGGCTCACAATCTTGTGATATATTCTTTATCAAATGTTGACTATCAGTAGCCAAGGCTCTAAAATCAATGGGTTGCACATCAGGAATAAAGGCATTAAAGGAAAGAGAAGAGGTGCTTTGTTCATCTTGAGGTGAGGTATTCACAGGTTGGTTGGGGAGTGTATACACATAATCCTTCAAGTAAGTAGGAGGTTTATGAATCTAGGTGGCCTGATGTTTTCTGGAGGTAAGATTGGAGTATGTTGGCTAGAACCAGATGAACTAGTAATATTATGTGGTCTGTTTTGGTTCTGGAATTGTGGAAATGGGATACTGAATTCAGTTGTATCCTGGTTATTTCCAGAGTCATGATCCCCTGATACAAGTGTTGGTGACACCATATTGTGACTGTGAGGTGATGCAATAGGAGATGTAACAGAATCACTTGTACTAGAGTCAGCTGATGCATGATTTTCTATATTCAGATGCATTTGGGGTAATGGAAAGGAGGAACCATCAAGATTAGAAGATAGATCATTAGAATTTGATTTTAAGCTAAATAGAAAGATGTTTCCATGAAATAAAACATCTCTTGAGATATGTAATCTTTTTGTGACAAGATGTAACACCTTGTAGCCTTTTGTCCCAAAAGAGTATCCCATAAAGAGATGTGGAATTGATTTAGGTTCAAACTTGTCTTTGTGTGTTTTATGATTGGATGGGAATTGCAAAGGCAACCAAAGCTCTTGAGATGTGAATAAAGTGGATTTTTCTTGTAGAGTAGTTCATATGGACACTTGTTTTTGATAGAGGATGATGGCAATCTGATTATTAGGTAAGTAGAGGTGAGGATGCATTCTCCCCAATATTGTAAAGGCAGTTTGGATTGATACAATAATGCTCTAGCTGTTTCAAGGAGGTATTTGTGTTGTCTCTCTACTATCCCATTTTGTTGAGGTGTATAAGGACAAGTCTTTTGGTGTATGATTCCTTTACTTTGGAAAAATATGGTGCTGGCAGCATTGACAAACTCCAGACCATTATTTGTTCTAACTGTTTTAATGGTAGTCTGAAATTGATTCTCTACCATGGCAACAAAGGCTTTGATAATATGCAAGGCATTTCTCTTGCAAGTTAGAAGATGTGTCCATGTGGACTTGCTATACTCATCTACAAGGGTACTAAAATATTTATATCCATCATGAGTTGGAATGTTATAGGGACCCCATAGGTCTACATGTAATAGTTCAAAGGTTTTAAGTATTTTTGTGGTACTTTGTGGGAAGGGAGATCTGTTTTGCCTGGCCTTTGGACAGACAGGGCAGAAAAATTGTTGTTTTTGTGCAAAGGTAGTTGGGATGGTTGAGATGCCCCTCATTTTGATAAAAGGCACATGGCCCAATCTATTATGCCACAAAATATTTACATTGTATTTCTCACAAGCAGATGCATTTGGAACAAAATTACCAAGTTTATGAACATCAGAAGAAAGATAAGAAGAAACATTTGAAAGAGGACACTAATTATTATTGCTTGAAGCAGTAGTTCCTACAATGGACTACACTTTATTTCTATTGTGTGGAACTAGTGGTTGATGCACAAGGTGCTGTGTGAGAGCTATGTGACAAGATAGTAGTGTCAAGCGCAGAAGGTAAAACTGAAATTACTTTTGAATGAGTTTGTACAATGAAATTAAAGGCTTTCCTTGACCTCACCAATCTCCAGTGGCCTCTTCAGTGAAGGGCCCTGTAGAAGAAGATAGGAGAATTTTGTGAATACAACTATGCAGTCTAGTTGCACAGTTAGGGAATGAACAGAAATCATGTTAAATGTGAAGCTAGACACATAAAGTACTTTTCTCAGAATGAACTTTGGACTAAGAATCACATCATCAATACGTGTCACCTTCACTTTGTACCCATTGGGCAGTGAAACTAGGTAAGGGTATACTAAGGTTTTGATATTGCACAGTAATGTCTTATTGAAGGTCATATGATTTGTGGACCTGGAATCAAGGATCCATGAGTCAGCATTTGATTCAGAACATTCACGCAATTGATTATTATTCTCAATAGAATAAGAACAAGCAACATTACCTGCAAAGTTCACAGCTCCTCCAGTCAGATTCATGTCTCCTAGCTTCTCCCTTGTGTTCTTTTTTGAAGTTTTTCCAGAATGTTGAGAAGTTTTCCATATTTCTAGAGTCAGGTGATGTATAAGTCTTCCCTGTTAATGATGACCTCCTTCGACTTCTGAAACATTAGGTCCATCATTTGGTGTTCGAATTACTTTTGGTGCAACTCTTTTCCCTTTATTGTTGTTACCATAACTAGGATACTTTGAATTCTGAGGCTACCCATGGAGTTTGAAGCACTTATCCTTACTGTGTCCTGGCTTCTTACAATATTCACAAAACAGGCGAGGTTTGTTCGATGAATATCCTCATCTATTTGCATTGTTTCCAGCATTTCTGGCATTGTATCCATTTGTGTTGTAATTGGTTATGAAATTGTTGTTACCTACACTTGCATTAAGAGATGCAGATTCCATTACAAATTGATTGTGTGGCTTAACTTCCCTCTGTTTCTCCTCCTGAATGAGTATGGAAAATGAAGCCGAGAAACTTGCCCGAGCCAACCCTGAATGCACACTTTTCTGGGTTGAGTTTCATATTGTACTTCCTTAGTATATTGAAAGTTTCCTGCAAATGTTTCAAATGGTCCTCTGCTCGCAGGGACTTAACTAGCATGTCATCAATATAAACTTCCATAGATTTCCCTATTTGTTCTTCGAACATTCGATTTACTAGGCGTTGATAAGTTGCACCAACATTTTTTAGTCCGAGCGGCATTACGTTATAATAATAGATGCTGCATTCAGTGATAAACGAAGTCTTTTCCTGATCCTCTGGGTTCATCCGTATTTGATTGTATCCCGAGTAGGCATCGAGAAAACTGAGAATATCGTGGCCGGCCGTGGCATCGATCATGCGATCGATGTTCGGAAAAGGAAAAGAATCCTAGGGCAGGCCTTGTTCAAGTCCTTATAGTCTATGCACATTCTAAGTTTATTTCCCTTCTTAGGGACTACCACTATATTTGCTAACCATTCGGGGTATATTACTTCCCGAATGGACCCTATTTTGAGATGTTTGGTTACCTTGTCCTTGATGAATGCATGGTTAACCTCAGACAGGGGCCTTCTCTTTTGCTTTACTGGATGGAACTTCGGGTCCAAGCTTAATCGATGGGTAGTGATCTCTGGTGGGATCCCTGTCATGTCGAGATGGGACCAAGCAAAACAATCCATGTTATCTAAAAGGAATTGAATAAGTTTCTTCCTGAGCTCGGGAGTTAACCCCGTGCCTAGGTATACCTTTCGATCGGACAGATGCTTGATCAGTATCATTTGTTCCAGCTTTTCGACTATTGACTTTGTTGCATCAAAATCATCGGGAATTATGAAGGATCGAGGTGTCATGTAGTCGTCCTCCTCGAAAGTTTCCTACTCCCCCAATTGAGCCGAGGCTGGTGACTGTGGTTGCTATTTGACTTCCTGCTTTCCCTTCAACTCCGATCCCTTTGTTGATGAAAGTGCCCATACCAGTATCACTTCATCAATTGCAAACATTTCTTTGGCGGCGGGTTGTTCGCCGTACACCGTTTTGACTCCTTTCGATGTTGGGAACTTCAGGACTTGATGAAGTGTCGAGGGCACTGCCCTCATGTTATGGATCCAAGGCCTTCCGAGCAGTGCGTTGTACCTCATCTCACCCTCGATCACATGGAACTTTGTTTCTTGGATGGTCCCGACCATATTTACTGGCAAAAAAATTTCCCCTTTGGTGGTTTCACTTGCCATGTTGAAGCCGTTAAGTACTCGATTTGCGGGCACAATTTGATCTTGTAGGCCGAGTTGCTCTACGACCCTTGATCGAATAATGTTGGCCAAGCTACCTGGATCAATCCACACACGTTTAAATTGAATTTTATTCATAAGGATAGATATTACTAGCGCGTCGTTGTGAGGTTGTTCGATCCCTTCTGCATCCTCGTCGTTGAAAGACAAGGTCTCTTCCGGTAAATAGTCCCGAGTTTGTTTTTCTCTTGTGATTGTAACCTTGGTGCATTTGAATACCGATCCTTGAGTATCGACCCCTACAACGATCATGTGAATCACGTGCTGTGGCTCTTCTTGCTCGTTCTGTCTGTTTGAATCTTTATTTTTGAAGTGGTTCTTAGCCCGATTACGTAAGAATTCTCGATACTATGGCCATGGGTGCTATGATACTTGCATATTTGGTTTGGGTTTCTCTGGGCAAGATTGGTCTGCAGAGGTCGAGGCCACCTAGTATCTTTGATACGCCCAATAGTCGATGCTATGGCGGAAGCATCTACGCTGAAGTTATATTCTGACAGTCGATGTGTTCTTTGGACCCATCATCCCTATCGAAACCACTCTAGCTCATGAGCCCTCGGGAGCTTTGTCCCCAATAATTCCTTCTATCATTCCGAACGGGGTTGTGTCCAGACTCACTATTCTCCGATCTCTCCCATATGGCTGATATCGGTCTCTGTTTGATCGTGGTTCCCGATCGACATCCCTTTTAACTCTGTC